TGGGGCTGTTGTTGGGGTTGTGGGGCGGGGGCGGACCAGGGGGAGGGGCTGAAGCTGGGATTTTGACAAGCCAGTTACGTAAGGTGGCTTCCCCGAATCCCACCTGCTCCAGGTTTCAAACCCGCGGAGGGGGCTGCTTTCCCGCGGCTGCTTGGCTGCTCAGCCTGATGCCCGGGCCCTGCCGGGGCTCAGGTTCCACGTGAGCCCGGACAGCGTCCAAGTTGGACAGTTTTTTTTTTTTTTTCCTTTACTGGGTGTGTGTGCAATTCTTGGTCATCATCACTCCTTTTGAAGTTTATCTCTTTCTAGGGTGGGGGGGGGAGAAAAGAGAGGGATCAAAAAAAGCTTGTGACCTAAAATTGGGTCGCAGCGATATCTCTTCATTATGGTGCTTTTAAATGACAGGACGTACTGGGAAATTTGGCTGTTGTTGCTCCAGTGTGCTTTTCATTCAGACGTATGGTTGGCCTCGGAGCCATAGAGAGGGTTTGTATTTGTCTTACAGGACAGTTATTTCTTGTTTGCAAAGCGGGACAGGCATCAATCAACAGGCTTGTATTTATTTGAGGGGAAAGCGGGTGTCAGCCAACCAGTGACACAGAAATTGTATCACTCTGTGAATATATTATTCTTTTAAATGTATTAGACATGAATGGAAAGGATAGCCCCGGCGTAAAAGAAACAGTATTACACGATTACAAGCTTTTGTTTAGTGTATATACACAGCCTCATTCTATTTTCTGCCTACCCCGTTCTACCTCGCCTTCCTCGGGGGAAGGAGGTGGAGACACCTGTAAACATCGTAGCCCAGGTTACACTAAGCTATTGTAGTGCATTTGAGATTATTATAAAAAGGAGTCTCTGGGGGACCTAAGATTGGTTAATAAGTAAGGATTCTTGGACAAGTTGTTCAGTTTATGTTTGTAGAAGTTCTGGGATACAGCTTCTGAAAAAGTGAATAGAATTTCTGATATATTTGAACCCTAATTGAATTTAAAATAAGATTGTATTTGATTTCTTTTATGGGGATTTTGTTTTGTTTGGGGTAGACATTTGAGGCAGCTTTTCGTTTTCACAAACTCCCTTTGAACTGCAGCTCCCAGCAAGAGTCTAGAATAACATATAGTTAACATCATCATTCTATATATGTTACATAATTCTCTTTTTTTCCGAATGATTAAACACAGACCTACTTCACTGTGGAATGTTGAAAGAATGTGCTTGTGAGGGAAGTTAATTGATCTTGACACCCGCCTAATATTCAGGATAAAAAGGAGCAAATTTTGGCTTGCATTTGAAGCTAAAGTGCACAAGTTTACATTTTTGAAGTTTGGTGAAGCGGTATAGCTTTTCTGTCTGTGCTGGCTCTCTTAGCTAGGAACCTGGCGCTGATTTGAGCTCTTCCACAGGAATTACCACCCGTTTAAGTAGTTATTTATTCTTAAGTTCATGGAACTGTTTGCCCCATTTCTGACAACTTGAATACTATTTAATATAATTGTTATATTATGAGAATATATTAAGAGAATTATGTAACATATATAGAATGATGAAGTTATATGAAGGAAGGGACAGAGTATATCATATTAGTTCATTCAGAAAACAGTAAACATGTAACAAAGAAGAAAACAGTATTTTCTTTCTGTGTGATACAAACTGTATTAACTCTAGTTGTTTGTAAACTCTTAAGCCTTCTGCTTATGGGAAGCCTAGTTTTTCATAACCATCACTAAAGATAGTGGGTTGTTATGTTACAGATCTTTCCTTCTTGTTTACATTGGTGTCTCATAATTGTAAGCAGAAAACATAAGTGACTCCATCAGGAAAATGGACTTGATATTTCTATTTTCTCCCATGTCAGAGACCTATCTTTTCAGTATCCAGCCTTTCCTGCCAGAGGTAGAAAAAGGAGATACTAAAGAAAAACTTTAGTTTTTTTTTTTTTTTTTAGTTTTTTAGTGAATCAAGCGTTCTTCCTTTCTTTCTGTTCCCTTTACCCCTAGTTAGTTTTCTATTCAGTAGAATTGGTGGGGTAGGGCGAAAAGAGTCCAGCTATATTTTATTACTATATATCATCAATATCATTTTGGAGTCTAAAAGAGCAGTGTAAAGCTTCATATTTTAGACAATATTTTGGCCTGGCACTTGAAAGCCTTCAGCCTCAATCATGTTAGTGCTGAGATTATAGATATGTGTCACCACGTTCAGCTAAATTACTGTTCTTATAATCACAAAGTGGCATCAAAGAGTTAGAAAATACTGAAAATCTAAAGTGCTCTTGCTTCAACAAGGAAGCTGCCTTCTTCTTAGCAGAATGTGTGTGTGTGTGTGTGTGTGTGTGTGTGTGTGTGTGTGTGTGTGTGTGTGTGTGTTCATGCACACATTGCATCTGTGCGAAGTAACTTCTGGGTTCTTTTTACTTCTAGCCCTAAACTGCTCTATGTTGACAGTGCCACCTATTGATAATGAACTCGTTTTTTTTTTTTTTTCCTCATTACTTTATTAGTTGTTAGGCAATGGCATTGGGATGTTTAAGAGATACCAATATTTTGCTAGTTACTGAGGATACAAAGGTGAATAAAACATGACTTCTGCCCTCCAACCCTGCCTGAGAAACTTTGTTTGCTTTTGGGGCCATCAGTACATGTGTCCCCTGCTTTTCCTGTCTCACTGCTAATGCTCGATGGGATTTTTTTTTCTTCTGATATTCATATCTTTTTGTAACTTTCCTAGTGGGAAACTGTTTTGGGTTTTTTCAGATACATTTTTGGAACATATTTCATGTTGAAGTGTGTTTTTTAAGTAAAACCTGAAATATGGAGATCAGAAATTTGTCTTTAAACCTGTGGTAACTTTAGTTTGATGTGTGTGTGTGGCGGGGGAGGGCCTAGAAGTTGGCATCAGATATCTTCCTCAGTCACTTTATTTATTTATTTATTTATTTATTTATTTATTTATTTGAGACAGGTTCTCTTAGTGACTACTGAGTTCCTGAGATCAGCTTTTCTCTGCCACCCGCCCAGCATTGGGGAGACAGATCTGTGCCACTTCACTGAGTCTTTTATGTGGGTGCTAGGGTTCAAAACTCTGGTCCTGTGTCTGGGTACTAGGTACCCAATGAACTACCTCTCCAGCTTTCTTACTGGTCTTGGAGACAGTTTATCCCTTGAGCTTTTCAGCTTCTTACCTCCTCTTCAGACAGCTGTAATTATAAACATGGCTGTCATGCCCAAGTAACTGCAAGTGTTGTTTGTAGATGAGACATTTTTCTTCTTGGAAAGTTTTAAAAATAAACCCAATTACCAAAATATGTAGTACACACCCACATGCCTACATAAAATGTTGACATTTTTCATTTTTGCTTCAGATACATATTTAATATAAAAGAACTATGTATATCACAGTTATCACACTGAATTCTAAAAGAGCAATATAGAAACTTTATACTTTATATGAAGTTGCAGTCTTTTTTGTTCCCTTCACTTTCATTCCTCTCCATCTCCTTCCCGCTTAGTAACCGGTATAATGAATGTAGCATTGGTCAGGGCCTCATGTAGATCAGGCTGGAAGGAAGACTGTGTTGGCCTTGTACTCCTGGTCTCACTGTCCCTTCTTCCCCAAGGCTGGAGTTACAGTGTAGCACCACCACATGCAGATCTACTGAGTGCTTAAGAACAAAGTATTTTGTCATCTGTGTGGAAATGCCATGATGAAATCTGGTACCTTGAATGTTAACCTGAAATTTTAATAAGAAAAATAAAGTATAGATTAGGGCCATACTTCCATGGTTTGAACCTTTGAAAAAAGTTTAAATTGTATTTTATGAGAATGAGTGTTTGGCTGGCATGTATAACTATGCACTAAGTGCATGTCTGGTGTCTGCAGAGGTCAGAAGAGGGTGTTGACTCCCTTGGTACTGGAGTTATCGATAGTTATGAGCTGCAAAATGAGTATTGGGAACCAAACTCAGGTCCTTTACAAGGGCAATAAGAACTCTCAAACAGCTGAGCCCTTTCTTCAGCTCCCTTGATTTGAATCTTGAATTTATTTAATGGTTTTATAGTTATTTAAACTATATCCTTAGTGCCCTTATCCTATCAAATAGGATCAACAGAAATGTCCATTTCATAAGGTTTTTATAAAAATTAAATGAGTTTATTTACATAATCTTGAAAAAAAAACATTTGTTAGTTTGACTGAGAATAGCTCCCAAAGGCTCATATATTTAAAGACTTAATCCACAGTTGGTGGAACTGTTTGGGAAAGATTAGGAGTTGTGGCCTTGTTGGAAGAGGTGTGTCACTGGGGAGTGGTTTTGAGGTCTCGAAAGCCCATGCCATTCCCAGCTAGCTTTCTCTCTTTTTGTCTTGTGCTTGTGAATCAGATGTAAGCTCTCAGTTACTGTTCTAGCACCACACCTGCCTGATGCCATACTCCCTGCCATGATGATCATGGATTCTAAC